AGAACGTTTGGTCTTAAGGGACCTCTCTGGTGTCTCAGGACAGAGTGCTAGAGAACTCAAAGCCCTGTGGTATCCAGGTCTGAGTGCTACCTCATTAGTCATTACTGCCATTCTCTGGCAATACAGAAGTACCCACCCTGGTGCTTTCTGACTACACTGGTGATTTTGCAAGGGGAACCCTCTTTTGAATTGAATCTTAGGGGAAACCAGGGATTCCAAGAGGCAAAATTGAGGAGGGAGTGTGTTCCAGATGTGGGGGACAATCAGTGTAAAGACCCAGATTCTGAAATAGAGATTAGACCAATATAACTGAACCATATAGTGTGTGGAGGGTAGTAATTTGTAAGACTAGAATGGTAGGAAGGGACCAGGTTGGGAAGCGTTTTAAATGTCAAACAGAGGAGTTTATATTTGATCCTAGAGGTAATATAGACTTACAGAAGTTTATTGAATATGGGAATGATATGGTCAAACCTATGCTTTGGTAAAGTCATATTGGCAGCTATATGGAGCTAAATCAAGTCAACACGTATTTAGTAAATACTTACTACATGCTAACCTCTAGATGATCCAAAGCCGGGATGGGGAACCTGCGGCCTCGAGGCCACATGTGGCCCTCTAAGTCCTCAAATGCAGCCCTGTGAAGTCAAAGGGCTTCACTTGAGGACCTAGAGGGCCATATATGGCCTCGAGGCCACAAGTTCCCCATCCCTGATAAGAAGCAAGGCAAAGAAAAAAAGTCCCTCTTCTCAAGGAGCTCACATTTTAATGAAAGTAACATGCAAACAAGCTACATACAAACATGATATAGAGAAGATAAATTTGGATTTAATTGCAGAAAGAAGGTGCTAGCATTAAAGGGGATTAAGAAAGCCTTCTTGTAGAAGGTAGGATTTTAGCTGGCACTTAAATCGAAGCCAGGGAATCCAGAAAGAGGAGATGAGGAGAGAATTCCAGGTACAGGTGACAGCCAGTGAAAATGCCTGGAGCTGAGAAATGGAGTGTCTTATCCAAGGAACAGCAAGGAAGATAGTGGCACTGGATTGCAGAGTACGTGGAAGAGAGTAAGTTATAAGAAGACTGGAAAGGTAAGAAGAGGCCAGGCTATGAAGGGCTACAAAAGCCAAACAGGATTTTATATTTGATCCCAGAGGTAACAAGGAGCCCGCGGAGTTTATTAAATGGAGTGGGGATGTGGGCTGACATTTAGGAAGATCAGTTGACATCTGGGTGAAGGATAGGCTAGAGCAGGGAAATCAAAGTAAAGAGATAAAGGAGGATGCTCTTCCAAAATTACAGCGGCAAGATGATCATGACCTGAACTGGAATGTTTGAATGGAAGGAAGACCTGGGCAGCACTTGTGGGGATAGAGGCAAGATTTAGCAACTGCCTGCTTATGCGAAGTGAGATTGAGGAATCGAGGATCGCACCAAGGTTGTGGACTTGGGTGACCGGAAAGACGGTAATGCCCTCTAAAGCCATAGGAAACTGAAGAAGAGGGGCAGGTTTAGGGAGAAAAATAATGAGTTCGCTGTCTGCGGACATGGTGAGTTTGAAATATCTATGGGACATTTGGCTCAGAATGTCTAATAAGAGGTCGATGATGTGACGTGTGAACTCAGGAGAGAGAGTAGGGTTGGAGATATAGATCCAAGAGTCATCTGTAGTGAGTCGGTCAACAAGCATTTATTAAACATCATGTGCTAGGCACTGTGTTAAGGTGGAGTGTACAAGCCAGGAAAACAAAGATCGGCAAAGGACAGACCTTGTTCTCAAGAAGCAGACATTCTAGGGGCATTCTAGGTGGTGCGTTGGATAGAGCACTGGCCCTGAAGTCAGGAGAACCTGAGTTCAAATCCAGCCTCAGACCAAACACTTGACACTTATTAGCTGTGTGACCCTGGGCAAGTCACTTAACCCCAATTGCCTAAAAAAGAAGAAGAAGAAGAAGCATACATTCTTATGGAGATGATAATTGAACCCATGGGAGCTGATGAGACCATCAAAAGATAGAGTAGAGGAAGAAGAGTGAGGGGGGCCCAGGACAGAACCTTGGGGTATGCACATAGTGAACATGACTTGGATGATGATCGAGCAAAGGAGACTGAGAAGGAGAGTTAATTAAATGGGTAGGAGGAAAGACAGAGAGAGAGCAGTGTCATGAAAACCCCAAAGAAGAGAGAATATCTAGGAGAAGGCTGTCAAAAGCTGCAGAGAGATTAAGACAAGGCCGTTTAAATTTAGTAATGAAGAGGTCATGGGTAACTTTGGAAAGAGTAGTTTCAGTTGAGGAATGAGTGTAGAGCAGAGGGTCCCAAATTTATTTGCCCTACTACCTCCTTTAAAAAAAAAAAGATTACTCAATGTCCCCCTGGAAATCTACCTTCTTTAACCCTTTAATGGTTTTTTGAAATTTGCCTCAGTTTCAAATTATGCATCTTAAATTTAATAATTTATTATAAATTTGTGGGTTTCTCCCTGCATTGAAATTTTGATGGCACAGTGTTGTATCTTGTAATGGTATAGTATCATATTGTAAACAAGTCATTACACAAACATATTCCTGGTGATGCACGCTGGACTTTCCAACAATGCGTGACATGCTCGCCTGCCAACACTTGTTTGTTAAGACCTGTTGGTAGACTTGACCACTGATATCTTATAACTTGCATTTTCTGTGTTTATTTGGGAAAGAGTGTAATAACTATGACTTTAAGTCTGTTGCAAACAGTTGAAACATATACAGTTTTTCAAAATTTTCTTCTCTTCTTTTCTTATGCTACCACCACCCCCTTATTTTTATTCAATGCCCCCCAATTGCACCTGAGGTGACTACCGTATCCTCTCCCCCCATCATTTCAGCACCATCTAAGGAGTAGTATCCCCCACTTTGGGAACTTATGGTTTATATAGATTGCAGAGGATTTAGAAGAGAGTAAGAAGTGGAGGTACTAAGTGTAGATGGGCTTTCCAGGGAGTTTAACTCATAAGAGGAAGAGAAATATAGAATGGAGTATTGATGGGCTCTAATGAAGGTTTTTTTAAGTGTGAAGAATACTTATGTAGGCAGCTAGGAAGGATCCAATGGATAGAAAAAGACTGAAGATTGGAGAGAGATAGGAGGATGATGCTGGAGGAAGCCTGCTGGAGAAGAAGGAATGGGATCAAGGGAACATGTAGAGGGTACTTGTTGAGGAGAAAAGGGCCACCTCTTCATCAGAGACTGTAGTAAAATAAGAAATAGTAAAGGATGAAGTCAAGTGTTGTGAGAGGAAGAGGAGAGGTAAATAGAGAGCTCAGAGTAACCATTCTATCTTTTCTCAGAAAAGTGTGAGGTTGTTGTTGCTGTTATTGGTCATCCTTCATTCTCGAAGAAGACCAATGATTATTATGAGGGCGATGATGAGGTAAAGACCTCAGCCAAGATGGTGGTTGGATGAGTTATTGTGGAAGTCTTGAGAAGAAAAGAGTTTGGAACAGCCTTTGTGAAAAGTGGAAAAGACAATCAATTAGCAGAGAGTAAAAGGATTATTTTACTATAATGTGGGCCAATTTGAAATTATGTAACATAAATTTGTAGTGGACCCAATAATCATGGTTGAGTGATTTCCTATGCAAATGAAATGGAAAAACTTATCTAAGTCCCTTCTAAGAGTCATCTTTCTTAAGCAATCACAAGGATGGGATGGAAGAGCCCTTATATGAACCAGGTAAGAAAAATTGAAAATCCCCTAGTTTGACCCTATAGCATCCCTTTAGAGGTATCTAAAATAGAATGGAGCTGGTTTAGGCAACCCATGAATGTATAGTTTGCATCCTGGCTCAGAGATGGTATCAAAAATCCCTAAAATCGTTCCATTGACTCTATATGCCTACAAGAGAAGGAGGCTAAGAATTCACATCATGGTACAATGAATGATGAATTTGGTCCAGGGGGCCTGGGTTTGCAGCCTAACTGTGGTGTCTGTATAATGTTGGGCAAGTCACAACCTCTCTAGATCTCAGTTTCCTTATATATAAAATGAAAAAGCTGGACAATCTGCAAGATCCTTTCTAGCTCCAACTTTATGATACAATAATTATAATAATTGATAAATACAGATTATCCCAAAAATCTTAGTACAGTTTTAAGCTTGAGTAGATTAAACTAGTGATTAAAAACTGAAGTTTTAGCTTAAAGTAATAGCTTAATTTCAAGCTTTACTAGCTTAAAAACTACATATTAAAAAAAAAAAACAACTAAGGCTTTTGGGATACCTACCCTATATAGCACAGGAAAAATACACTGTCAAAAAAAGACAGGAAAAATATATTGTCAATTCCACAATTCAAATGAAAGCCCTCTGGATAGAGGAATGCCCTGATGCAGGATGCCAGCCACAAAGGCTGGGTTGCCAGTGTTCTCAAATTCCATTTCAGGATCCAAAGGCCATCTAGGCTTATGAGAAAGGGGAGGAAGTAGGACAACTTGTCTGTTCTGTTTGCCTCAACGAACTTTTCCCATGTATCAGGATGTGAATTACCAGCATTTGGAGATACTAGCATCACCCTATCTATTGACATAGAGCCAAACTTTGGAACTTTGCTGCCTAGGGCAATCAGGGACAAGGTCATTGTTGCTAGGGAGGTTTCCTATGAAGGAGATGTGTGTGTGTGTGTGTGTGTGTGTGTGTGTGTGTGTGTAGGACAAGGAAAGAATTCACATCGGCTGCCACCTGGTAGCTTCCTATTTTAATTAGCAAGGATTAGTTCTTCTTGCTCTCTAGGTGATAGTTCTGTTGTTTGATAATGCTGAAAGCCTCTGAGTGGTGTCAGCTTCCTCTAAATTTGGGGACAAAGCCCTAGTTTCCCCGCCCTAATTGCAACTCTGCCTCAAAAGACACTTCAGGCAGTTTCAGAAGAGTAAAGAAGACACCCACCTCACATCTGGCCGTCTCTCTGAACAAGTGTCCCTCCCTGGCCCTAGCTATTTGATAGTGATAACCCCTGTTAATTATAGATTTGCATGTGGGTCAGTGGATTCCAGCCCTGGAAGAAGCAGTAAGCAGAAGAAACTGAATCCTTTAGGGAAAAACTGGAGCAGGCTCCAAGAAGAAGAAGGATTTCACATGTCTTCATGTGTCAGTCATTTTGAGGACTCCATCTTTCTCCACCAAAACACAGAGTGAGTGGCAAGATTTCCTTTTTTTTTTTGTTTTTGTTTTTGTTTTTTTTTTTTAGTAGGACAGTGAGACTTAGAACAATGGAAGACAGAACCTATCCTTCTCTTTTGTAATTTTTGTAAAGTCAGGGTCTTCTATATCTCCTATCCTCCCTATAGAGTACTCCTCCTTTGGACTAGTAATAGTCCACTCCAAAGGCACTTAATAATTGTCTATTGAGTAAAAGGAGAAAGACAATATACACAAAGCGCAAGGTGTTCCAGATAGTCTCAGTGTCATTTTAAACTATTAAAGCTTAAAACTACACTAAGACTTTTGGGACATCCTGTATATTTTTAAAATTAAGGTCAGTCAATTCTTAATTGTCTCTTCTGTTATAGGAACACAGTGGTACAAATAGTTCAAAACATTAGATAATCTACAAGTCCTTTTAATTGGTTTTGATGAATTCATTCTGTGATTAATTGATTTAGCAGAAAAGCTGCCTTCCTGATTCTGTTTGACTCAGACTTTCAAATGAATTTGTGTTCACTGAGCATTCACCACTGAGCTGTAGGTAGGAGCATCACAGAGCCATAGATAGTGGAAAGGAACTTAAAAATAATTTAGTTCAATGGTTCTCAAACTTTTTGAGGTTTAAGACCTTCCCTGCCTCCACCCCCTCCCCTGCTTTTAACATAAGCAGATTTCACAGACCTTCTCTGACACAGTGTCCTAGATTTAGAGCTGGAAGGGAGGTGAGAGATCATCTAATTAAGACTCCCTCATTTTACAGATGAGAAAGCTGAGTTCCAAAGAAGGGAGGGAATTGAATCCAAGTCCCACAAAGAAGTAGAAAAGCCAGCATTGGGTAAATACATGATGACAAAAACTACTATGACATCAGTTTTTTAAAATGAATTCATATTTTGTTAATCACAACAGGAACTACATACATCGGAAAATTTTATATGTATATATAAATGTATATAAATATGTATGTATATATACAAATGTGAACAATGAACAAGTTTAACCTCTAGAGACTGAATAATCTTTCTCTCTACATATAATATATATATTACATACATAATATATATAATCTCTACAATCTCTCTATTTCTCTCTATATAATACATATATTATATATATAATATATAATATATATAATCTCTCTCTACATATATATATAGAGAGAGAGAGATTATTCAGTCTCTAAAGGTTAAATTTGTTCATTAATGAGTTAACAAACTTACTAAACCACTTAATGAGATGAATGGTGAACATTTAAATTTGCAGATTCCTTATTATTTATCCTTTGTTTCGAAGAGGACTAATGACCTCACAGGGTGATGTGTTGATTTATGTGTGAATTGGATTTAAGTGAGGCAGAGTTACACAAAGTAGTCAGCCTCACTTTCTCTTCCAGAGTCAGTGAAGTACAGTGAGAACTGGTGATGGCCTGAGATGCAGTGGATGACCATGGCATCTTCAATGTCTGACCAAGCTCCAAGTGCTCAAGACCACCTACTTCACATGCCTTCATGGAACAGCCTTATAAATAAGATTCCTTGTAATAATTTGTAAAAGATTCCTTTTAATAACTCCAGTAACCCAAAGGTTGGGAGCTATTTATCTTGTCCATTTGCTTCATTTTGCAGGTGACAAAACTGGGGGCTGAAAAGACCTGTGGATTTGCTCAAGGTTAGAAGTAAACAGACCGAAGTTCCCATCCCTGGAAAGCAATAGATGATCTCTAAGATCCTTTCTACCTCTAAAATTCTATGACTCGATGAATTACTTCTAGGAAAGGGGTAAATAAAAACTTTTATTCCTTGTGTTTTCTGAGGAAGCCGGGGGAAAATAACACTGTCAGTATTTCCATCTTGTGGGTACAGCCAGAGTTGTTGAGGAAACTGAAGCACAGTGGAGAGTAGTGGTTAAGGGAATTGTTAAAATTTTTAGATGGAGCTAAAGTCAAGTATTCTCTCTCCCAAGCTATCCTTTTTCAGAAAAATATTTTATTTATGTCTTTTGTTTTCACATCTCCTATATTCACTTCCCACTTATCCTTCCTTTAACCTTTCCTAGAAAACTATTATAATAAAGAATAAAAAAGAAGGGAGAAAGGTTCAGCAAAACTAACCAACATATCAAAAAAGTCTGAAATTTTATTCAATATCTCTTATTCATGCATAGTCCCTACCTCTGCAAAGAAGCAGGGGTTGGTATCTTGTCATATCGCTTCTTTGGGGCTACACTTAGTCATTTTAATTTCTGCAGTATTCAGTTTTGACTGTTCTGTTGTTGCTCTTCCCTTTATATTGCTGTGATCATTGTTTATATTGTTTTCCTGGCTCTGCTTACTTCACTCTGCCTCCGTTCATTTAAATCTTCCCATGCTTCTCTGCGTTCATCGTATTGGTCTTTTCTCATAGCACAGTAATGTTCCATTATATTCATGTACTACAATTTGTTTAGCCATTTCACAATCTATGGATATCTACTTTGTTTCGAGTTCTTTACTACTGCAAAAATGGGTGCTATAAATATTTTGGTATCTATGAAGCCTTTCTTTTGTTATTGCTATCCTTGGGGGTGTATGTCTAGTAGTGGACAAAGGGTATGGTTTTAATGAGTCTCTTCAAATAATCTCGAATTGTTTCCAGAATGGTTGTACTCATTCAGTGTTCCACCAATGACAAATTAGTGTATCTGTCTCTCAATAATCCCTCTAACATTAACTTATTCCCATATTTTTGTATGTTTTACAATTTCCTTCATGTGGGGTGAAACCCTGGGGTTATTTTGAACTGTATTTCCATTTTTATTAGTGATTTAGAGACTTCATTCATTTTTTCTTGTTAATAATTTGCAACTGTTCTTTTGAAAAGTGTTCCTATCCTTTGACTTTAGTATGGGATGGCTTTTGGTTGCATATTTCTGTTAGTTGTTCATATATTTTGAATATGAGACTGTTATCAGAGATATTTGATACAAAAGTTTTTTTTTCTCAGTTGACTACTTCCCTTATCCCAGTTGCATTAATTTTGTTCGTGCAAAAGCACTTCAATTTCATGTAATTGAAATGATCTATTTTGCTCTTTGTAATTGTCTCTATACTTTATTTAGTTAAGAATTTACCGCACAGGATGCCCATTGACTGGGGAATGTCTGAACAAGTGGTGGTATATGATTGTGATGGAATACTATTGTGCTATAAGAAAATGAAGAGCAAGATGGTTTCAGGAAAAAATTGATACATCACTAAATCTCTAAATTAATTTTAGTAGTATTGGCATTTTCATTATATTGACATGGCCCAGCCATAAGCAGTGATTGTCGCTCCAGCTATTTAAATATTTTTTTTATTTCTTCTAAAGAGTTTTATAAATTGTTTCTCAATAGGTATTAAGTATGGTTTGGTAATTGAGTCCCAGATGTTTTATGCATTTTGCAGTTATTTTGAATGGGACTTCCATTTCTATTATTGCTTCCTGGATTTTGCTATTATTGCTATTTATTTTGTGAATTTATTTTATAGCCCACAACTTTACTGAACATATGAATTTTCTCAATTAGTTTCTTTGCTGATTTTCTAGGATTTTGTAAGTCATGTCATCAGCGAATAGGGATAGTTTTGTTGTCTGACTGTATGTCTTTATTTACTTCTTTTGTCTTACTGCAATTGCTAGCATTTCTATAACTATGTCAAATAATAGCAGAGAATGGGAGGATTCTTGCTTTACCTTTCATTCACTGGAAAAGTTTCTAGTGTTTCCCCATTGCATATAATTATTTTGTATTTTGAATAAACAGTTTTTTGTCACATTTTTTAAAAAAGGCTCTTCTAAGCCTATACCTTATAGAATGGTTTTTTTTTTAAAGCATAAGTAACTATTGTTCTTTTCAAAACTTTTTTTTTAAACAACATTTGTTATAATCATGTGACTTTGGGAAAAGGGAAGGGAATAAGCACTTATGTAATGTCTACGATGTGCATGGCACTATGCTAAGCACTTGACAGATATCTCATTTGACCCTCACAACATTCCTACAAGGTAAGGGTTGCTATTATCCCCATTTTACAGTTGAGAAAACTGTAGAGGCTAAGTGACTTGCTCAGCTTTTGTTCAGTCGTTTTTCAGTTGCTTCTTCATGACCCCATTCGGGGTTTTCTTGGCAGAGATACTGGAGTGGTTTGCCATTTCCTTCTCCAGTTCATTTTACAGATGAAGAAACTGAGGCAAACAGGGTTAAGTGACTTGCCCAGGGTCACACAGCTAGTAAGTGTCTGAGGCCGGATTTGAACTCACAAAGATGAGCCTTCCTGACTCCAGGTCTAACACTCTGTGCACTATGGCGCCACCTAGCTGTCCTGGGTCACAGAGCTAGTAAGTGTCTAAAGGATGGTTTGAAAATTAGGTCTTCCCGACTACAGGCCCCAGCACTATATCTACTACATCACCTGGCAACCTCCAAAATTAAACTGAACTTTAAAACACATACACACACCCCTAAAAGAGCTTTAGCTGTTTTGTTTTTGATAGGATTAATTACATTAATTATTTTCATTCCTAAGATGAATCCAATTTCATTATAGTAAATTTTTTTGGATAAATTGCTATAGTCTTTTTGCTGGGATTTTACTTAAAATTTTGGCATCAATGTTTACTAATGATACTGGTCTTAATTTTCTTTTTTTCCTGTATCATTCCCCAATTTAGGTAGTAGAACTGTATTCGTCTTGCAAAAAATTTGGTAGGGTGCTTCATTTCTCAACTTTTGGGGAATAATTTGTATAATGCACATTTTGATCTATAAGTTCTCATGAGGTTTCATCTTATCTCGATTACATGGGGTCATTCATTCTAGCTATACAGTTAGTTCTCTCTCTTCTAAAGTAGTGGTCTTCAAAGTGGGCACTGAGATACCTTTGGCTCGACCCCCAGGTGGTGTGTGATCAACCAGCTAAATCTCACTTTCCCTATAATAGCCAATCATGGGCCGGTCTCCAACAGAACACCATATCCTCATCCCCCAACACACTCCCACTCTGTCCCTTCCCTCCAGTCTCTGATATTGGCCCCAAAGGACAATTCTAACCCAATTGCTGTTTGGATAACCACAAGCTACTGAGTGCACAGGTGCCGTTGGGAAGATTCTCCACCATGCTCTTCCTCCCTGTGCCCCCCAGCATACCAACCTCCTGTCCCCCACTTCACCTTCAGAGGGTGGGCTGTGCCTCCAGAGCAGCTCCTACTCTGACTAAGAGCTCAGCCTTCCCTTTTATTTTGAGTGGGACAGAGTAAATTGCATCAGATGAGCAGGTATGAATGGGCTACAACATGCATCACAGATCTTATTCCTCACCCCCTCCCTTTACCCAAATCTGCCCATCTTCTGAACTTTCTTATTTCTGTCCAGGGTACTACTTTCCTTCAAGTCACCCAGCTTCTCATCTTCTGTGAACATTTAGTCTTCAACTCCTCATTTCCCTTCACCTGCCATATCCACATAGTTACCAAATCTTGTCATTTCTACCTCCACAATATTTCCTTCATGCATCTTTCTTTCTATTCACGTAGCCACCACCCTCATTCCACCCTGATAGGTTTTCTCATCATCTCCCTCCTCCCCCATCACCTGGACTGTTGCAACAGCCTTCTAATTGTTTCTCCTACTTCAATTCTCTCTCTTTACCAATCTGCCCTCCACAAAGTGATTTTTCCTTAAGTTCAGGCATGTCACTTCACCAATTCAATAAACTCCAGTGGCTCCCTATTGACTCTAGGTTCAGATATTTTATCTTTCTCCCATCCTTTTAAATTTCTATCTTTGTATAAATTTTATAATATACACAATTATTTTCACAGTAGCACATGTATATAATTTGTAAATAAATAAGTATACAGATATTGGGAGTGTGTGTTCAAAAATTTTTACCAACAGGAGTGAAAGTTCAAAAAAGTTTAAAGGCCATTGCCCTAAAGCAAGGGTTTTTAACCTTTTCTGTGGGTTATGAACCCCTTTATCAGTCTGATGAACCCTATGGGACCCCTTCTCTGCATAATATTTTCAGATGCATAAAATTAAATACATGAGACTATGAAGGAAACCAATTATATTGAAATGGTCATCATAATCTTTTAAATTAAAGACCTCAGTTTACGAAACCCTGCAAAAGGACTGACTAGCTCCATGATGCAATGGAAATAGGAATGGGAATGGGAATGAGTGTTCTGCCACCTACAGGTACTTTGGGGCACTGCAACTGTTGCTGTCCTTTGTTTTTGCTCTGTAACCTCTGTCCACTTTTGTAGTGACAATGTCATATTTTAAAATAGCATTCTGCCATTTACAAAGACTTTCCTCCCAACATCTCTGTGGGTTAAGTAATCAAAGTCTAACTATCTCAAAGTTTTAATATCCCTGTGAGACTTGGTATATCACAGTGTGTATAGAGTTGCACGATCATGGGACTGAAACCTTGGGGATTATCTAATGTGATGTCCCTATTTTACAGATAAGAAAAAAAAAGTCCAGGATGAGTGAGAGTCACACAGGTAATAAGCCAAATATTCAAAGCTTGACCCTCCAACTCGAAATCCAGTCTTCTTTCTCCAACATCATACCTCTTGTCTCAGACCATTATAATTAGAAGCAACCTTCCAATAATTCCAATAATTCCACTTACAGCTGCTCCATAATTTAGTTGGAACTCTGTGTTCTTGGGAAGTTCTGGCTTAACTGAATTTCACACCAACATTTGTGATAACTCATTTTTCCTCCAGAGCCTTTCTGTGTTTTATGAAGCAGTAAAGAGCATGTGCTTCCGCCATTCCTCTTTCACAAGATTTTGCAAATGAATTTATGTTCTAAACTCACATTACATTGGCTGTCATGTCTCTCCACTTGACAAGTTCAAGAATTTGCTGGATAAAGTAGTTTTTAGGTTCTTTGGCATCCTTGTTGTTTTGCTAAACTTCCACAAGAAAGGATGATGGCACATAATGATGTCTTTTCCTTGTTCCATTTCCCAGTTTTCAGTATCAGTAACTTATTTGAATAGATCATGCTGGAGCTGTTTTATTTACACACTATTTGTTTTTATCTTCATCCTTTCTTTTAATTTGGTGTTGGCATCTTTGCTCTAACAAGTCAATGGTCTGACTACACATCTGATTCAGAAATAGCCCCCATATCAGTGACCAGTCATTTCAAATCTGTGAAGATGGTTTCATTTTTTTTTATGTGATGTTATTCAATGCTTATCACACCCAGAGCCTTCCAGCTTTCTTCATGGAAGAGAGTATTCATGATATCTAGGTATAAGATTTCTGTTTAGCCTTTGGCCTCTCATATTTTAATCCTGAACCTTATTTTCCTTGACCCTTCTTGAACCCTCCTTTGAATTGAAGTCACTGATAATTAAGGAATGCCTTACTTTGGAGTTCTTATTAAATTCTTTCTAAACATTTTCTTTCTCAGAGTTTACCCATATGTACATAAATATTTATAGCAGCTCTTTTTGCAGTGTCAAAGAATTAAAAACTGATGGGATGCCTATTAATTGGGGAATAGCTAAACAAGGTATGGTATATAAATACAGCGGAATACTATTATGTTATAAGAAATGATGAAGGGGATGGTTCAGAAAACCTTGAGAAAGACTTGTATTATTTGATGAAGTGAAGTGAGAAGAGCCAGGAGAACAATTTATGCAATAACAGCAATGTAAAAAAAAAAAAACAAACAATAATCAGCTATGAAAGAGTTAGTGATTCTGATCATCACAATAACCAACCACAATTCTAAAGGACTCAGAGTGCAAATTGAAGCATATGTCTTTCCCTTTCTTTTTCTTTCTTTCTCTCTCTTTCTTTCTTCCTTCTTTCCTTCCCTTCTTCCTTCTTTCCTTCCCTCCCTCCTTCCTTCCTTCCTTTCTTTCTTCCTTTCTTTCCCTCTCTCTGGCTAAATGCATGACTAATGCAAGAATTTATTTTGCAAGACTATACATATTTGTAATGAATTTTGTTTTTCTTGCCTTCTCAATGGATGGAGAAGTGGATGGAGGGAGATAATTCAGAATTGAAAATAAAATAACTGAATGTATTTTTTTCTGTTTTCCTCTTTAACAGATGTCACACAAGCCGTAGTTATCTTTATGATGACACTTCTGCTTATGTTCATCTTGAGCACATCAAGGCAAAAACACAAAATTTCCCACGAAGTGATGTTTCTTCGATTTGTAACTATGCCCAAAAGGTCTTTAATCTGCATATATCCTTTGACCCAGAAATACCACTACTAGGTCAGTGTCAAAGAAGAAGGAAAAGGACCCATATGTAAAAAATACTTACACCAGCTCTTTTTGTGATGGCAAAGAATTGGAGATTGAGGAGATGCTCATCAGTTAGGAAACGGCTGAACACGTTGTGGCACGTGATTGTGATAGAGGACTATTGTGCTGTAAGAAATGATGAGAGGGGTGGGTTCAGAAAAACCTAGGAAGACTTATAAAAGCTGATGCAAAGTGAAGTGAGCAGAACCGGGAGAAAATCGTTTATAGTAACAGCAATATCATAATGATAGTGATCAACTGTGAAAGACTTATCTATTCTGAAAAATGCTATCCACCTCAGAGAGCGAACTGATGAACTCTGAGTGCAGATTGAAGCATATTTTTTCACTTTATCTTGCTTTTTTTTTTGCAACATGGCTAATATAGAAATGTGTTTTGTTTGACTTTACAATGGATATCATGATTATTGCTTGCCTTCTCAAATGAATGAAAGGGGGCTTGAGAAAGGGAGAGAAGTTGGATCTCAGAATTTAAAGAAGAATGTTAAAAAAAAGAATGATGTTCTGTTGCCTTTGGGTACATCATAAAACCAATTTCTTTGTTTGCCTCTCCAAAGGAAACTTGTTAGCTGTCCCTCCAGTTAGCTGCAACTTCTTTTTTTTTCTGCTGGTTTTGGGTTCCCAATGTATTTTTTGAGGAACAGTTGCCCTTGAGGGTAGAAGTTTTTGTAATTCCATCATATGCACATAGTAAGGGCCTAATAAATGTCTATTGAATTGAATTGAACTGAATTGAATTGCTAGATAAGTAAACTTGAGTACCACCAAGTCTGTGCTGGGTAGTATTGTTTTAGTCACATTGCTGATTATATTTACTCTTGAATGTTATTTCTGAATATATATGTTTATATATATATATATATATACACATATAAAATGTGTATATATGTGTACATAATCTTTTCCCCTTATAAATAAACCCTTTGAAAGAAATATACTTAATACTTTATATTTAACTCTTATAAATGAGATCATATGTAAAGTATTTGGCAAACCTTAAAACATTATATGAGTACTAGCAATTATGATCTAGTATTTACTTTATTTATATTTATTCTGTGTATACTTATATATTTACATGCCTTCCCTGATAGAATGTAAGCTCTTGAAGGTCTGAGATTATTTTATTCTTTGTCTCCAGCACCTAGCACAGTACCTGGCATAGTAGAGATTTGACTACTTGTTGATAGATCCATTGAACGATCTGTTGGCCGAGGGGAGGAAGGGAAAGAAGATGCCAGGACATCCACTGGGGAAAGAATAGGTGCAGAAATGATTCAAGATCTAGTGATTGACTGGATGCTTTATTAGTGGTTAAGGTACAGAAGATCTCCAACTTGAAGGAGCCATGTTGGCTCAGGGATCCAGAAAGTCACAGATTCCAGAGCTCAAATAGGAGTTTAGAGATAATAGAATTTCAGAATTAGAAGACACCTTGTCTAATCCTTCTCCTATGCCCTTCAAGTAATTTAAGACAACTTCCCCTCCATTCCTGCCTCCTCCAAAGTCTCTTTCTCTTCTCCAGGATGAAGATATCTCACTCCTCCAACTTATCTTCATATGATACCATCTCAGTCAGCCTTCTCCTCATTCACTTTCCTCTTTCCAGCCTGTCAGAGGTCTCTAGCCAAATTTGTAACTGAATAGGAATCCTTTCTACTTTCCCAACAAGGTGTCAGCCAGTTTTCTCTTAAAAATCGCCAGTGAGAGGGAAACTACTAGAGCTCTAGTTGTTGGGATTTTTTTTTCCTTTTGGTAGAACTAAAAATCTTAGTCTCTGATCCTTCCACCCATTACTTTACTCCTAGTTCTGCCCTTTCAGATAAATCAGAACAAATCTTAATCATTTTTCCATGTGAAAGTCCTTAAAATACTTGAAGTCCTTAAAATACTCCAATCCAATCCAATAAACTTTTATTAAACACCTACTATGTGCCAGGCATTGTGTTAAGGGATGGGGATACAGTTAATAAAAAGAAAGACAGTCCCTGCCCTCAAGGAGCTTGCAGTCTAAAGTGGGAGACAATACACAAAAGGAGGCAGAAAAGTGGAAGAGGGAGGACAGGACACAAAGAGTACCAGGCCTCGGTGGAGTTGAAACCAGGCAGGGCAGCAGATGGACAGTAGAGTGAGTTGAAAGTCCATTTGCTGTCTTCTATAATGGAAGGCATTGGGAGGAGTTTGGTACTCTACCCTCCAGTCCTCCTGTTAGAGGCTGAGGGAGGTTGTGTCAATCAGGGCTTAAGTTGACAGCATGGTGGTGAGCTTAGAAGTGATGAGTTTATCCTGGGAGAAGCACCTTGCCCTGTGGAGTTGAAACCAGGCAGAGAAGCAGATGCAAAGTGGAATGAGAAATCTGTCTTCTTCCTGAGTCTTCTCTTCTCTGGGATAAAAATCCAGATCCTTCAACTAATCCCAGTATGATATGGTCTCTAGACCTCTCACCATCCTAGTCACCCTGATATAAATATGGTTTGTCTTGTTGTTCAGTCATTTGTCAGTCACATCCAACTCTTCTTGACCCCATTTGGGGTTTTCTTGGCAGAGATGCTGGAATGGTTTGCCATTTCCTCCTCCAGAGCATTTTACAGATGAAGAAAGTGAGGCAAACAGGGTTAAGTGACTTGCTCAGGGTCACACAGTAGTGTATGAGTCCCTCTGGTCTAACTTGCCAATGTCAATTTCCCATCCATTTGCAAAGGCCTAGAATGTACTTTATCTTCCTCTCTATTTCTTAGAATCCTTCTCTTCCTTCAAAACTTGGCTCAAATTCTACCTCTGATGGCCGTGCTCCCGTCTTCAGACAGCCTTGTCTTTGCTGCTCAATGTACATGTTGTGTCTCCATACTCCCTGACCCCAGTAGAAGAAGGTAGGTCTCTGCTCCTCAAAAGTGAAGACTATTTCATTTTTGCCTTCATGTCCCCCATGCCCAACACAGAGCCTTGCATTTCATCAATATTTATTTTTTGTTGAACGTGCCCGATTATTTATTTTTTAATTATAGTAGGAGGAGTCCTTAAGGCCAAAAGGCAGACTTCTCCTGGGTCAGCTCTGATTCCCTAAGAAATGGAAATCTTCAGTGGGGCCCAGGTCTAGGACAGTCAATCGTAAGGCAATGGAGAACCATAAAAAGTCTTCAAGCGAGACAGAGACTATGATATTCCATAGTGTCCACTCCCTAATACCTATAGAAAGGATGGGAGGAGAGTCTATTGGATAGCCCTAGAAAATTCTTTGTATAACTTTGTTATACAAAACTCTTCTTTATAAGGTGTTCATTCTAATGAACTAAATGAACTTTTCTTAATACTCAATTCCCAGTCACTTTATTCAACAAATAATTATAATATTTTTCAAGAAATAATAATTATTTGTTTTTATTTTTAAAAGTTATAGCTAGCACTTGTCTTGTTCTGTAGGGTTTATAAAGTACTTTATGTTATCTCATTTCATCCCTCACAACAACCCTATGGGGTAAGCACTATAATTATCCCCATTATACAGATGAGGAAACTGAGGTACAGAGAGAGGTGAAGTGACTGACCCAGCGTCACACAATCAGTAAATATCTGAGGTAGGATTGCAACCCAGGTCTTCCTGATTCCGAGTTTAGTACTCTGCCTACCTTGCCATCTAGCCACCTGCTACATACGTACACAGTATATATGGTACAGAAATGTACAAGGCTGGGCTTCCTGCCCTGGCTTACAGTGTAGTGAAACATACACACCTGCACGCACACATACGCACACACACACACACACACACACACACACACACACACACACACACATACACAGACACACAGAGTGACCTCAATTTTAAGTTCTGCTAAAGTCTTTTTTTAGCTTCATCGGTTTATAGAGGTGACCTTGGGGGGCTCAAAGGCTATTTTGCCTCAGTTTACCTATTTGTAAAATGAGGGATCTGGACTAGATGTCCTCTGAGGTTCCATCCAGCTCTAAATCTATGGTCCTGTGGTCCAGTGACTATTAATTTTCCCTCTTGTTCCTTCTCTTGTCATATTCTAGGAAGAGAATGAAGAGAACACACCTTTTGGGGCTGTTCCATTTACAGAGAACAATGTTTCCTTATAACTTCCACTATATCAGGAGTTTTCTTCATTCTCCCTTGGCAGATGTTTTGATGGAGAAGCATACGAACATTTGGCCAACACCAACAATCGCCATGCTCTCCCCACCTCTTCCCTGGGCACAGATATCTTATCCTTGAGCCTTGCTATTGCTCTGCCATCTATGTGTCCAGCAGAGGGCACTCTTGTCTCATAATGGAGACTCCCTTTGATTTCCCCCTCCACTGGCCTCTTGCCTGGGCTTGGGTCTCCCTAGAGAGAGGGAGGGAAAGATGAAGTTGCAGGAGGCTCGTTTCCTCGGCCCAAAATTGAGAGGCCTCACCCCCCAGGGCATTGGAAGTCTGAGTTTCCTAGACCCAGGATTTGGGTGGGGAAGGAAGGAGAAAGAAGGCAACACCAGGCTGGATGGTAGAAGGAGCAGGCAGGGTGGGCAAAAGCCATTCAGGTGGAAGTGGGCTTCCAGAAAGTGTGATAGATCCAATCTCTGCCTGCAAACATTCAATAAAACCCTTTGCTTCCATCTTCTCTTTCTTCCGAAATTTTCCCTAATCTTCAAGGTCCAGCTTAACTCAAAGAATCTCAGTGTCAGAAGGGCCTCAAATGTAGCTAGAATTTACATAACACTTTATTGGAAAGAACTTTACAAATATCTCATTTTATCCTCAAATCAATACTGAGAGGTAGCTGCTATAATTATCCTCATTTTACAGACGGGGAAACTGAGGCACACAGGTTAAATGACATGCTCAAAGTCACACAACTAATAATTGTCTGAAGCTTATTTGACCTTAAAGACCTTAAAGACTCAATCAACTGCACCACCTAGCTAGCTAATAAGTGGTTATCAAGCTTT